GAGGGTGCGGTGCTAACCAAATTTGGCAACTATTTGCAAAAATCCGCTGATAATTTCCATATCTGGTTAGCACGCACACTGAATTTCCAACACTGTAAATGACTTGCACCATACATATATACCAAAAAAAAATTTTTTTAAAATATTATTCCAAGATAATTAACGATGAAGCCTCTAATTGAAGGCCTTACTTCATTATTAGTTTTTATTATTTTATTACTCGCATCGAATGTTGATTCATCCCTCGAGAACAATAATCAAGGTGAAAGTGTGATTCCATTAAGGACACATTCCATCTATATGCCATATATTGGTAAGTGCAACGAATCAAAATTATTATTTAAAACAACAACAATAAAAAGTAATAAATGAAATAAATACAATTCTGCCTGTATATATATATAGATCAAGACCTTCAAAATAGATGGTTTGATTTTGGTGCTGATACCGTGATTAACACAAATAGACATATTAGATTAACACATGACCGACCTTCTCAAACAGGTTGGTTATGGAGCCGTCTGGTAAATAATAAACAAAATCAAGAAAAAGTTATTTTTTTCTTTAGGTGTCAAACAAATAGTAATCAATTAATCGATAATAATCAATTGATGATAATTTTTTTTTAGCCATTGACTTCTACGAATTGGCAAGTTGAATTTGAATTTAAAATTCATGGAAATAATCCAACGCTTTTTGGTGATGGAATGGCTGTGTGGTTTACAACAGAGCGTGCAAAACCTGGTCCTGTTTTTGGTTTTATTGATAAATTTGAAGGCTTGGGGATTTTTTTTGATACTTATCCTAATGCCAAACATAGTGTAATCAATCCTTAATGTTGTTATATATTATACTATATTATATTATGTGTATATGTATAACTGACTTTTATAGTTATATATATATATGTGTATGTATGTGATTAGCATTCTTTTCCTTATGTTCTGGCTATGGTTGGTGATGGCAAAACTGAATATGATCTTGGTAATGATGGTAAGAGTAATGAGGCAGCAGGATGTGAGGTAATTTTTTCTGAAAAAAGCTCGTTAACAATATTTTCATCATTTAATCATTATAATCATTAATTCAATAATAATAATAATAATAATAATAATAATAATAACAAATTTAGGCTGATATACGTGGAAAACCTGTTCCGACAAAAGCTCGCATTACATATTACAAGAATACTTATCTTGAGGTTAGTAGATAAAAAAAAATGATAATATTCTCATCGTCATCTCTATCAATTTTTCTAAAATGAATTTTTTTTATTTAGCTCAAGTTACAATATAAAGGTTGGGATCAATGGGAACCATGTTTCACAATTCCAAATGTTACAATTCCTAATGTCGCTTATCTTGGTTTTAGTGCATTAACTGGTGAAGTTAGTGGTAAGAATTTTTCTTAAAATTTTATATTTATATATATACATATATTTTTTTTCTTGACCTAAACTTGTAACTTATATATAAATTTTAATAGATAATCATGACATTATCAGTGTCACAACAAACAATATTGTGTCGGTTCCTCCAAGGTTACACAAGGTAAACTCGATCATTTATAAAAATAAAATAAATTTAATATAATCACTAATTCTTGTTTTTAATTATATATAGCCAACTCTTAGAAACTCCGATCCACAAGGATCATCAAATTGGTCTATATTTGTTTACATTCTTAAACTTATTGCAACGGCCATTTTTCTTGGTATATTGGTATTGGTATATAGAATGTATAAAAGTCAATCAAATAAAAGATTCTAAAGAATATCATCTTTATTTATTTTTTATGGATTTTATTTAATTTAATATATATTCTTTTAACAAACTTTTTATTTATGTAATATATTGCAAAAAAAAAATTTTTTTCTATAAATCAAAATAAAATAATTCATCTTAATAGTAAATAAATATATATACAAGCAAAAGAAAAACGCTCGGATAAAATAAAATATATATATGCAAAGTTCTAAGTATTTAAAATAGCAATAATACCTCTTTGTTTCTATTTAAATATAAAACATGATTTTTTGTAATTCAGGTTTCATTAAACCATAATCTTCTACGTTGGTACTTTGTTCGCTATCAGCACTGTCATCTTCAAACTGGGTTGGTTTTTTTTTCCAAAATCTAAAGTAACATAAAAATATATTTAACATATATCTTTATCTTGTTTATACTTTATATACAAATTTACCTTGCACGAAACGCTGCCAAATGTGCATAATATGCAGGTGGAACCATAGAAACTGCTTGTGGACATCTCGCATAAAGATAACAAAAATTATATGTAAGAGTTTGTAGAACATCCGGTTTGAATTTATTATCTAGAGACAAAATAAACAAATAAAAAACCCCAAATTAGTTTCAAATCAAACAAATCAATAAAACTTGATAAAAATAATTACCATCAACTAAAACATGATAATGAGTAGGACGGGATGTTCCTTGTAAGCCGGGATGCGATAATAAATCTGTTATTTATTAAATAATTAACAATGCCTACATGTTTATATTTATCTATACATAAATATATATACTTGTATGCAATTTAATAATACTTACAGAAATCATATTCAAATGGATGTGTTATAGATTTATCCACAACGGTTCCTATATTTGATTCAAAATAAAAAAAGTATCAATATTATAATTATTATTACTGTTATTATTAAGAGGTCTTTTAATATTCAATCAATCAATCTTTACCTGGAAGACAATTTCTTGATCTATCTACATTCTTGGAGTCCGTAGGAAAGAATCTATAATTTCAGATTAATAATAATAAAAATTAAAAAATAAAGTTAAAAACACATCTTAAAAACCTCTGTTCTTTACCTAGCATGATGCCTTTTTTGAACAACTATAAATGTAATGGCTGGTTTATACGTGGCTTCTAGTTGGGTACAAGCCTTTCTAATCTGTTCTACTTCAGTAGTTTTAACAGCCTCAAACTGTCCTTCACTAACACCATCACGATAAAATAAAATTCGTTGCGGTTTCCTTTTAGTTTCTTTATAAAAAACTTTTAACAGTTCTTGAACCATTTCTTGAAGTGATGAAATGATTTCGGTACGGGGTGCTTGAAATCTAATCGAGGTAGCATATTTCGTTCCTTTTGGATCAAATGATCCAACTACCGCTGCAATACTAGGTGTTGTCTCCTCACCTAAAAACATAGTCAAGTAATGAGTACATAAATATTTATTTGTATATTGATTAAAAAAAAAGAATAATGACATACCAAATTTAGGATGGGTAACGTCAGCACCAAATACAATAGTCTATAATAGAAATATTATTAATTATATATTTGCCAAGAAGTTTATTTAATATTTTATTACTTACTGGTTCATCTTGGAAAAATGGAAGAAAGCCATTTTGTAAAGACATATTACTTCCTTGAAGTTTAACATTAATTTTTAAACCCAACATTCCACAATATTGTTTGTTTATTCTGGAAATTTTACTCGACATCACGCACTAATGATATATATATATAATATAAAGAGTTAATAACTAATAATCGTAAATCGTTAATACGTATACGTCACAGATATATGTTTATTTACCTGTGTTGGAACACCTAATATTGTACCTTCGACCCTCTTTATTTCGTCGTACAAATTTGAACGTGTTTGTAAAACACAAATAATTAATTGTGGTTTTATATTTGTTGCCTTCCCAGCAGCTTGATATGCTCTCCTGATAGCTTCTTCGGTACTTCTTTGACTATTTTCATGAAATATTGGTGGATCTCGCTTTGCAATATTCATTCCTATATACGATTTTATTATGTTATGTGATTATTATTACGATCATGGACAAAATTATGCGATTATTATTGTTAGTTTGTTTCACTTTCTCTATGTTTTTCTAAATACCATTTTCTGATAATGTTTTTGTCAATTCACGAATAAAATTCTGTACAACTTCTATCTTGACATGTTGGGGGTTGGAAAATACCACTACAGACCATGATTCCAAAGTTGCTCCCTGTAACATCTAAAAAAGTATATACATGTATATATTAATTTATTGATAATCTAATATATTAACACATATGCATTTAAATATATTTATTAATTAAAAATCAACCTTTTTCCCAGGACCAAGTTGCCATTTTCCGAGTTGAGGAGTAAAACTTGCTTCACGACTAGACTATAAGTATAATAAAGTCTTTTTTGAGAGATCAAATAAAAAAAACATACTATGTATACTATCAAAATCACAAAAAACATATATAAATATCATACTGGATGATATGCCACTTTAGGGGAAGGTAGTACACGGGCCTCTATCATAGCCATTTGTTTAGATGTTCTTAATCCCCATTGTTTGCAATAATCATTTTGATCATAGTTTAATGACTCAAATCCTCTTTGTATTTTTTCTTGGCGAGAACTTGGAGCTATATAAAAAATTATTGAATTAAATTAGTTAATTAAATAAATAAAAGTCTGGCTTTAAGGGGAAAAAACTAAATTGAAAAATTTACGTTGACAGGTAAACTTGATCATATCAGCTGTTTGTTTACTAGTGAGCTTCCTTGTGATTCTTTGTCCCTAAAATGCTTGATTTTTAATAAAACAATAATGGTAACGAGTCACATTAATGATGTATAATAACAATATAATTACAGGTTCAACATAACAGACTTCTGGAGGAAAATAGGAGCCATTTTGAGTGGTTACACATGGTAAAAATGGATATTGTAATCTAAGGTTATATTTTGTATGAAAGTATTCGACAACATTAATTTGGTCTTGATTTTCTGGAATAACAAATAAACCCATTTTTTAGCCACCGATATAAATAAAAAATAAAATAAAGTCAGGAATTCAAGAACAGCAAACCTCTTTCAAAAGTTATGTATTGTGCTGGTCGATCAGATAGTTTTTTAATTTTATATCTACGTTTAAAGTTTTGACCTCTATGTGTAACATGAAATTTTAACGATTTTAATGTTCTTTCTAATTTATTACGATCTCTCTCGTTGATACCACGTCGTAAATCTTCTACTCTACGAGCTCCCAATATTTTTGCTATAATTTCAGCAAGATTGCCTATATTGGTCACAAAAAAATTCTAAGTATCACCAAATCAAATATATATATAAATATGGGAGAGATCATTTATTCTTTATACCAGCTTCATAAAATGCTGTTGCACTTGTGTCAAAATTAATATAAAATCGACCTATTATTATCAAAACAGTATTAAATAATGTTTCTATATTATTTTTTTATTAAAAAATTTTTTCCGATACAAAAAAAATTATGTCGTACCTTGACCAGGTCGTAAGGATTGCCAGTATCCTGACCAAACTTCAGCACCTCCATCTAAAGGTTGAGAGTTTTCCGGGGAATAAAATGCTCTACGTCCAATAGCCTTAAACTGGTTTGATGGTACTTGATTAATCAAGACATCCAATGCAGTAATAGCTAGAAATTAAAATGTAAATATGTAATAAATAAATTATATCTACCTAATTTTTTAAAAGTAGTTATTGAAATAATTAAAATGTCACCTGTTAAAACGTTATTTGACAGCGCAGATTTTCCATTTACAAAACGAATTGCTTCTTCGAGGTTTTTTTCTGCAACTTTTCTCATCTTTATTGTAAAATTTCTGGGAGGTCGTCTGGAAGTTTGAACTTGATTATCATCAGGAAGAGTAATCTTATTATTTAAGAAAATATAAATATTATAATTAGATCTGATTATATATACACAAAAAATTCAAATCTTAATAAAATGATCTGAATAATTATTAACTCCTATAGTTAATGCATCTCCGAATGGAAGGTCTTTGATTGTAAAGGCATTATTACGGCCTCATTTATAAAATAATTGAAAATTAGATTATTTTTTCTTGAAATAGATTAAAATAAATTTAATTTGTGGTATATATATTACCATCATAAACTGGCTTAACACCACCAAGAGTCCCTAGACTTTCCAAATGCTTAAAAACTCTACGATTTAAACCTGGTGGAACTTCAGGACTAATGTTGACATCATACTGGTAAACATTAAAATCTATTTTATTTATTAGTAGTTTTAGCTAGTTTTCCTTTTGATTTGGGCTTCCTCAAAAAAAAAAGCATTCCTGAAGGTTTACCAGGAAAGCTTATAACTTCAAAGAAATTGGCCCTAATTTGTATAAGACGTCCTGAGGAACCAAAATTTGGGCGAAGAGGATATTCTGACAATTTAATTGGAGCTTTCGATGTCATGTTTTCCTTTTTTTTTCCTGTAGATATTATTATTGAAGAATAATAAACTTCTTATTATTATCAACGTGACACAAGATATAGCCACCTGACTTTGTCTATTAATTCTGTAAACAATAGTAATAGTAATTTTTCCATATAAAGTTTAAATTTTCGAGTTTTTTACGATATTGATGAGTGAATACTAATACTAAAGAGTTTTTTTTTTTTAAAATGAAACTATTTATAAGCCTATTTACTATGATAACGAATTCACATATCCCTGGAAAATCAAATCTTTTTTAAAATTTCAGGGATCAAATTGTTTAACTGCATCTTCAATATCCTCCTCCCATAGAGAAAATAAGCTGATTATTCTCTTAAATCACCTCTTATCTCATTAGCCAGTATCATTTATTAGGTTATCATTAATTAATTAATTCATCTATTCTATTTAATGCTTACGATCTAGCAATAGTCCCATTTTCTAAACCAAGTTTACACTTTTCCACTTACTTTTTTTTTATTTTTGCAATAATTCGCCTTCTCTTTTGATCAAATCATTGCTCTAATTATTTCTTAACCGCTTCACAATGTTCTTATAATTATCTGCATCTTTTTAAATCAATTAAATTGACTGGATTTATAGGGCTATTAAATATTTATTTTATTATTAAGTTGATTTAGAATTCGAGTCAGCACGGGTCTGACAGAGTTACTACAAATTTGGAAAATATCTTCAATAACCAAGTATCAAAATTCCTTTTTTTTAATCATGAACAAAAAGAAAAATATCATCGAGATTATCTCAATCGATGATAATAATAATGACGACAATGGTGATGATGAAGACAATGGCAATGATAATAATGAGAAAGCTGCATGTGCCTGATCAACTGGTGTTCATTCGTTACATATTAAATCTTATTTTTTAAATTACACTAATCACGTGAATTCTAGTTTGATTACTATTTCTATATTAATATAGGATTGAAATCTTCGCTTGATGCAGCAACAGGATTAAAAAATTTCATGATAAAATGAAAACTTTTGTTTTGGCTTTAATTCTATCAGTTTTTACCCTTTTCATTATTTTTTTTGGTGGTAGGCCTTTAAAGACATGTGAAAATCATTAACTTTTATAGGTGTACCATTATATTGGTATCACTAAGACGTTGCAAAACCATTTTTGTTTCCAATGAAAAATTCTGAAAGTTAATATCGATGGAACAGCAATATATATCTACAGAAATGGAACCTCTGAGGAAAGGCTCGCGCTTCAAACAAATCAATTGGCCAATGCACCGGATCAACGCTAAAACAAATATTACCAATACAGACTTCATAAAAGATGGAATATATGTGAAGCATTACCCAAATGACAACAAAAAAGAAATACCACATGGAATATCCTGTTTTGTACCCACAAGTAACCCTCATAATGTTCCGAACATAAAATATCACGGCGAAGGGAACGACTGTTTCATTTTACATCAAAATGAATTCTTTCACGAGAAGTTGGCTCTAGTATACACCGGCAAGATAAATCTGAATGTTCCTTCAGTTAAACAGAAAGCGTTCCACTTTCACATCATTCCTACAGAGCGTATGACACAATCTGAGTTTAAGTTAACAATAAAGAGCCTACCTTGGCTGCCATGTACTATCAAGGCTAATGCATCTTCTGACAAACTGATTCGCACTGATGATGATATAGAGGGACTGGGTGACTCAAGAATAATCGCGCTATATGATATTATGGCCTCCTGGTATGAACAGGAAACTGATGCTATGGGCCGTCTCCGTGCCAATGACATTCGCATATGGATCGCTGAAGACAAGCCATCCTTTGATGACCTTCTTCAAGATGAAACTCGAGCTCGCTACGTTTTCTCGGCACTTGCTCGGATAGAGATTCCGAGTGCATGTGTGTCTACGATAATTTACCGAGACGATATTTTGAACGAACTAGAAGTTGCATTTGGATGGAAGGTGATAGACTTCTGTACTGATCCTAAGGTGAAGGCTTGATTAATATTTACTTTTTTTTTTTTTTTTGAGTCAAAACCTGATGGTATCAAATATTTATTCGTTGCAAGGTTTTTCAACAGATTGACGTTAAAGTTGAAGGACCAGAAGGTAAGTAATAGATCAGTGATATCTATCATAAACGTATACTTAAATGTTTGCCGGTATCATTTCTTAATTATATATAGTTGCTCATCAATCATCTGAACTTATTGATGAGTTTATTGGTGAGTTTGGCAAAGTCAGCACCCCGGAAAAATGTAAGAATATTGGCGCCCTGTTTGTGTGTATTTAAGTTGTAACTTGGGATTTTGGAACTAAGTATCTTGTCTATTTCTATCCATAATAGCAAGTAAAATTTTTTTCAGATTTTCCTTTTTACATGATAGAAAATACTTGAAGGATGGGTGTGTCATAGAACACACAAAAACAGGCTATAAGGAAACCTTTTCGCTCACAAAAAAAAACCATTCGAAATTTTTAGCAGAAGTTAAAAATATAGGCTTGGTGGTAAGGATTATAAAGACTTTAAATTCCAGAAATATAATTTATGATGAAATTCGTAGAGGGATTTTTGTGCTGATCAGTTTGAGCAAAGATTTCAGTTCTTGGTTAAAATAATAATCAATTATTTTTGACGTTAGCATTGTTTTGAATAGAAATGAGAAAAGTCCCAGGACCGGTGCCAGTTTAGTCACAATCCGAATTTTACAAAGTTTTTTTTTATCTTTTATATTTAAAAAAATAAATTGATTATTTATTAATAAAATCGTCAAATTTGACTCGCGCAATTTTTATGATTTACACTTTTAGATGTCGTGGGCTTCAATACATAAACAGTTACTCTGTGCACCAAAATTGACTCGAGTGTCTGCTGACTCGATTTTTAATCCAAATATTTATTATTTTTCGTAACTGTTGATTTAAATGGTAATAATAAATGTTATCATGAAATTCAAGAATGAAAGACTCATACAACTACAAATAAGTAAAAAGATACATATTAATATTAATCATAATAACGTATTTTTATTCATAATGACTCATGCGCAGAATTTAAAAAATGTCAAGACTAGATAGGCAATATATATGTCAAAAGCCCTTTTGCTAATTTAATCACTATACTAATACATAAACTTCACTTCTCATAATATTTAATGATTGTTATCAAAATATTATAAAACTAACTAAAAACTAAAAAAAAAATAATCATCCATTCGATTCAGTATTAAAAAAGAAATTGATTTCATTAACTGATAATTTTGTAATTATGATGATCTGCACCGTATAAGTTTAAGGGTTTCCAAGTTTAGAAGATTAAATTAGAAGGCTATTGCTAATTTAAAAATAAAATCGACCGGCATCATTAATATTAACTCCACATAGAAATTTATCATAGAATCTAAGAAGTACAGCACCATCAGAAGAAAAGAGAAGGATGAAAACTGCATGCTCCTTATGTTTCAAAGTAAATAATACTAAAACTATTAAATAAATGAAGGAATCCTTTGATAAGAGCCGAAAGAAAAGCCACTAAGCAAAGTACCAATAGAAACTTACCAAGAACCTAGGGGAAAAATAGAATAAAATAATTACTTCTTTAAAATGTCAAATTAGAATTCACAACTCATCTTATGTTAGTTGTCAGTAGACTACTGTCAACAAAATATAATAAGATGATCAACTGATCAACCAATTGTACATACACATTAAAACAATAATAAAGCGAACTTTAAACATGATGGTTTAATCAACAAGAAAACACACTACCAAACTTTAAAAAAAGGAATTTTTTTATAATAACAACATTAAACATTAATATTAAACATGTTTATGTTCATTTTCAGGGTTTGTTTACACATTAATATCCGATTTGTGTGTCTGAAAAAAATTTTTTCGCATAAAATTTTAACATTTCGACAGTATTGTGCAATTGGAACATTGTAACGCTATTGGAATGTTCCAATATAGATCTTCAATTGATATTAACCAATAAAATTCGTGTATATGGCACTGTAATTAGTTAACTTCATTGGAACCACATTTGGAATGTTCCAATTCCAATTGGAATTTATTAGAATGCTCCAATGAAATTTTATTGGAACCATAGATGGCACAACACTGCATTTCGAATGTCCTAATACAACTTTATTATTATTTATAAAATGCACAAGATATCCGAATTAAAATAATAGTCTGGATTGCAATAATTAAAATGAATAGGATATCTGGATAATAATATGATTTTTAAAATGAAGAGAATATCCGGATTCAAATATCTGGTGGAAATCACACTCATTGATCATATATTTTTAACTTGTGTTCCTTCCATGTTCGAACCTTGGTGAAATATAATTTGGAATTGTTAACTAATTAAAACATAATGTCAAGCATTAGAAATTTTTACTATCCACCCATTATCATGCTTCATGTGTGCGTATATTTAGAATGTAAATCTAGTTCATTATACAAAAGATCAAACTACCTTGGGCAAACATGATTACAGAATACCTCTCAAGAAATAACAAATAGCTATAGATGAAATATAGATTAAGAATTGATAAACAACTAAAATTACAATGGTGGTTGTATTTGCATTACAATATCAATATCAATGACAGCAACAACAACAGATCATCTTTTTCAATTGGTTAGATTTACTTTTTGCAAGGGTATTAATTACCATTTGTTATCATTATTATTACGTTATAATTTTATTTAAAAAAGGAGCAATGTGTAAGGAAGGAGGGATATTTGATTTTATAATATTAATATATATTAATATGTACATTGATTGATAGTGTTGTTATCTTTCTTAATTTAAACATGGTCTTAACTAGTTCGGATATTAATCATCAAATATACAAACAACTTTTATTATCTTATATTAATCATATTGGTTTTTTTTATTTTCTTCTATTAGAATATTGGTACTAAATAAAATTTTCAAAGCTCTTATCTTTGATTAAACAAAATACTTTTACACAAATAAATCTTTATAATCATCCATTTCATATTTGTCATTATTCAAATTCTTTTTATATTCTTTTTTTTTTTTAATTTCTCCGATATTCCTTTTTTTGTCTCATTTTTTCCTAATATTATTCTTTTTTTTTTATTCCAATATTTCCAGTCCAACGGAATGAACAGCAGCCACAACGCAGAACTTGATTAAATTAAGAAAATCTTAATCATGTGAAGAAGCATCAATAACTCTATTAATGGAATATCTCTTTTGGAATATCCTATTTTATGCTCATTCTTGTTCCTCGCAATGTTCCGTCCAATGACCCAAGGAATCTCTGTTTCTTTTTGCATGAGAATGTATTCTGTTTCCGGGAAGTTAGCTCTGGTATATATATATACTCTAACAAAAGTGGTAATGATTGTCTAAAAATACTTTTTTTTGAATATTTAACAATGCTATTTTTCTTAAAGATTTAGTCTATTTCTATATTACCTTGTTTAAGAAAATTGTGAGAAGTCTTGAAGGCATTTACAGCATCCATCTTTTATTGAACCCTTAGGCGCAGTCATATTACTTCCAATGATAACTTCCTCTTCAATTGACTTGAGAGAAGCAATAATTTCTTCCTCAGTTATCATTTCATCATTTATTTCATCATTATCAATTATAAGATATTCTTCTGCTTCTAATGAAGAGGTAAATGACAATTCATCAATTAAATTTTCAATGACAATTAGCTGAATTTTCAATTTCATTATCAAATGATTCATTTTCCACGGTAAGAATCCCAGTCTCAACTATTAATAATGGTTGTCGGTGTTGAATTAACAAATCTTGAAAGTGTGAATTATTCCTGCAATAATATCTTTCTATTTCGCAATGCTCATTTTTTATTACATAATTCCAGCATCCATGCTCTGTAAAGAAATTTGTTAACGCTTTTTAATGTTCTTTGGTTTTGAAATTTGTGAATAAATAAAGGAATTAATTTATCTCTCAATAGCATATAATTACTTATCTTTGTCTTGTTTAGTACCTCAAATGGAACCTCTTGATAATTTACGATTTGGTTCCATTTTCCAAAAAAAGCCAGTTTCATCACAATTAAAAATATCTTCTAATTGATATTCTTTAAGAAGATTTTGCAAGATGTCTCTGATTTCTGGAAGTTGTTTAATAGGTGCGTTTTGTGATTCATCATGTTGCGGATTGAGTATCTTTGTTTAAATTTGTATGATCAGCCAGAATATCTTAATTTAATAACTCAGAAAACCTCTTAGCTTTTGTTTGATAAGAATTTTATCAGTATTACTACTGACTTGGCTTGCATCAATTCCATATTTTTGTGCTAGCTCAGATTTATTAATTAAAAGAAATTATTGATTGTGTGAATATATTTGTTTGCCATAATTGTTTTTGGAAGAAAAGTGATTATGGCAATAATTATGGATTCTCAATTTTCTTTATAAATAGTTATATATTAATATGCCATTTGACTTAAAGAGTTCAAATAATTAAGCCCAATTATGGCATTACAAATATGGCAATGATAATTTATTAAGAAAGGCAATTGTGTAGTAATCTTAATAGAAAAGGAAATGATTTGACATCTCGGATAAGCAGTAGTTTTATAGGTTTATTTACAAGGTTTGGCTGCAATAAAATTAACCACTAATTGAACCAGAGATTTATTTAGCAAAGCTCAAGTAGAATTGCTTATTGACTGTTCTTTATATTAATAAGATGGCAAAGTGATTTTGTGCTAAGTGATTGGTGCATTCTCGTACATTAATTAAAAAATACATAGGAAAAAGTACTTGTGGTCAACTGTGCCGTTCATCAAAAATAAAATTAGAATTGTTAAAACTGCTGATAACAAATTTTTTGATAGATGGCCTTGGGTTTGTCGGGACTACTAATGTGGAAAAAATATTAAGTCATTATACTCGAGTTGGATACGGGGATCACGACTCCTTAATTTAGATAGATTTCCGAACAAGTTGGGTAGAGTCGAGTTTTCTGTTTTTCTAATTGGGGTCGTAAATTAGATTTACCCGATCTGACTCATCCGGAACTCCAAAACCAGATATCAACAAAATTACAAGACACTGTTTTATTTAGTTGATGTTGATTTTGTTTGATAAGAAAAGAAAGGATCATAATAGAAATTTCCAAATAAAGAAAAATCTATACACATTATTAAACTAACACCGAAAAAGAAATTATTCTCTATATATTTTTTTAATGTACCTATCTATATATTTTTAAAAATCATTAATTTTTTTATTCGTAAAAATGATATTAAAAAGAAAATTATATTTTAAAACTTTTTTACTTGTCTAATTTCTTATTCTGGACCAATGAAAATATATAATGATCTGCAACTTTAATTTAATATACGGGGCATACTGCAACAAAACAGACAAAGTGAACTGTAATGTGATGTGATCATGATATTTGTTTTGTTTAAGACTATCTCTAGATAAAAATAGTTAATATGAAATCAGAAGAATTTTTAATAGAGATAATTTAAAAATTAATATTCTAAAAATGTGCTTTTATGTAATTCCAACACTCATTCATTGTTAAATCCTACAACACACCGGTTAAAATCAATTGATTGATTCACATGAATAACAATCAAATTATTTTATAAAAATGATTTTTTTGTATTTTGTAATTTTATCTAGTATCATCACATTTTTCTTAATATTTGTTCGAATATAACTCTATAATGATTCAATAAAGCCTTGAAATATGTGTATATTTACTTCTAAATGGATGAAGTCTCTTAATGATTTGGAAAGAACATCAAAATTTTGCAGGTTTTTTGGAAAAATTCCATGAAATATTTTTTGAAACAATATAATTCAGGAGCTTTTAATTGCATTGAATAGATGCTGTAGTGCAATTCTGTATTTGTATTGAAAATAAAAATTAACTTGGTATTAATGTTTAAGCAACCCATTTAAGTAAACACTTACCATAAATGACAATTCCAAATACAGCAAAGTTGGTGGAATTTGTTAATCACGTCATAGGGTAATATTGTGTCATATAGATTTTTACTCCTTCCTGTGATGGGATCTTCTTTTCCACATTCTACTATTATTATTTCCAGATCTCTTTTAAATAATCTAATCATCATATCAGGGATTAGTGCAGATTTGATTCTATAACATCGAATTTCTTCTTTCTTTATTAAAACAAATGGCAAATATATTGCAGATGATGCAGTTTGTGAAAACTGTAAGGAAATTTTGAAAATGATGAATTATTAAAATATGAGAGATGTGGTAGATTACAAACTAGACATTACCTTGATGTTCTTAGTAAATATATTTGTTTTTGTGTCAAATACAAAGAAGATATGGAGGAAAAGGAACTTCCTCTCTTGCCTAATGAAGAATTAAGTCAAACTGCTTTTTATGAGAGACAAATAAACTCCCTACAAGAACAATTGAATGAGGCTGAAGAAGTATCGGAAGTAACCAAATTTCAAGAAAACCTGAAGAGTGGAGTAAGAGACAAAGGCAAGAATTATTGGCTAAGATAAAGGGTTTAGAAGAAAAAATTAAGCAACTAGAAGAGGAAAACAAGAAGTTAAAAGAGGAAAAGAAAGGTCAAATTGCTCAAATTGAAGTTAAAGAAACTAAGAAATGACCTTGATTGAAAGTAAGAAAGTAATTTTCTCTATATAAATTGAAATTCATTCCAACTATCAAAGAAAATGATAGTTAATTTCTTTTAGATGTAAGTTGGAGAAAATGTTCTGGCTTTTGATATCTTATTGATGATAATCCAATGATTATAAAAAAGCAGCTACAGTATTACTGATAAAAATAAGATTTACATTCTTCCTGATTATAAATGTAATGAAGATTTTGACAAAGCTGCTGATGAATATAAAAACCATATTTCAAAGAATAAAGGAAATTATAATGATAAATATGATTATGAATAGCAGGTATAACTTTTTTTAGGTTTTATAATCGCTATGATTTATGCCATTAGAAGAATTAAAGGAAAAAATAAATCAATATTGTAACAATGAGATTATTTTTGTTGGATAACAGCACATCTTCATTCTGCTTTCTTTTTCTAACATTTATTATTTTCCTTTCTTCTTGGTAAATTTCATAAGTAATTCTTTCATTCCTTAGATAAGTTTCCAGTTTCTGAGTATTATTTATTTTGAAAACATAATGAGCAATTTTTTCACCTTGTTCCTTTTTCAAAATACTTCCGATAGTATTATAATTCTTGGTAGATCCGATATAAATGAGTTAATCACATTATATCCGATAATACAGTTAAAATTTTTTGATCCCTGAAATCATTTGTAATACCAATGTTCACCTTGTCCGGTTTTGTTGCTGTGTGCATCATGTACAGTATATATAGTAATAGTAAAACTACAAAATAAAATCATACTATCTTCTGAACTTAAGACAAATGAAGAAATTAAAGGTATTGGTGCCGTTTGACAGGATAACCAACCATCTACTTTGTAATCAGGAAAACGTCATATATTTGTCCTAATTTAGTAATATGTTGCATTTAGTTAATTAAAATAAATATTATTAGTGTTAGTAAAATAATAATAAAAACAATGCTAACTTAATCGAATTAAGATTGATTATCGAGTTGACAATATTGAATGGGTGGTATTTGGATAGATCATTGGATGGTGTTGTGGTGGTGGTTTCTGAGATTCTCGAGTTGTCGTTGTCGTCGTCGGTGATAAGTTTGATTTTGAGGTGGGTTGACATTTTGAAATATATTTTTTTTTTGAAATATTTGTATTTTTTTTTGTATTTCAGAAATTTATCATCATCGCCATCACCATAACCATAATTATTATCAAACTGTTCCAAAGCGCACATCACACACGTCTTGCTCTTCATATTTTCATCATCTTGAACGTCCAAAATCAGCTGATACAAAAATAGATTTCTGCATAAAAGAGCATGCTCGAAGAGGTAGTGCAGCATAGAAGATATTGTGCAGTTTCCAACATACTAGGTTTGCATGACCCGTAGAATCATCAATGATCATTAGCGTCAAAGTACGCGGTGCTGTTGAGTGTATCAACTTATCATGGCAGGGTTGACACCATTGGATTTATTTGAATCACTATTTTATTGCCCCAGATAGACTAAACCAAAATACATCAGCTTCAATGGATCTGGTCTATTGTCAACCCTGCATCATAGAGATAATTTGTCATTTATTATTATTATACGTTCCACTTCGTTAATGTACTAGTATCTTTTTTGAACCCCTGAAGTTTTTTTTGTGACATCATCATGTTCACACTTTCTGGTTTTGACAATAATAAATTTTTAAATTTTGTTTTCCCCCTTATTTTCTATAATAATAATAATAAACAATACTTAAAAATATTACGAAATGTTTTGAATTCATTAGCTGAGGTTTCTAGGGGAGGAGGCCTATAAAAATTATGTATTTAATATACATATATGGAAAACATTACAGGGTACAAACTTTTTCTAACAATAATAATTATTATTTTTGTATAACCGAATTTTTTATTTATTCAATTGTAAACAAACTCCCAAAAAACAAAGACTTCTCATAAAGACTTGATCAATATTCAGCGACAAAGGAAGGACACAACGGAAAATGATGAGAACAGTGATACTGACATAGATTCAAATGATTCCATAGAACTGGAATTTAGCTTGGAAGCTTTAAAAGAATCTGCGGAAAGAATATTAGGTAAGTCTTGTATCTTGGCAAAGAAACTTGGCGAAGGAGGCTACCATAAAGTTTTTGTGCTGAAAATGAATGATGACAAGGAATATGTCGGGCGTGTAGCTTTTCCGGAATACCGCATTTGAAGCTGGAATGTGAAGTAGCAGTGATGGAATATGTTCGAGAGAACATTAAAAAAATCAAAATGCCTAAAGTGTATCATTATGAGAGTAAAAAAGGAAAACCCTGTTGGGCAAGAATACATAATAATGGAATATATACCTGGTGATACATTGTCTGATGTGTAGGACGAATTTAACAAGAAGATAAATGTAAAGTTATCACACAAATAATTGAAATAATGTGCGAACTTAAAAAACATAAATTTCCTAAAATTGGTGGCATATTTATCGACCCAGATACTCAAGAGTTTACAGTAGGTGAGGCAATTGAAACAACTTTTTTTAGTGAGTGATGGAAAGAATTAAAACGTTAATCGTGGTCCATTTGATAACACCCATGATTATGTCATAGCAGCAATTAAAAAAGAAATAAAATACATAAAAACCGCTCATACACAAGAAAAACAAGAAAAATGGACTCCAGTATACGAAATATTGGCTGAACTAGTTCCTAATTTTTTTTCTAAAGATGACAAAGAACAATTTGTACCAACTCATGGTGATCTTCATCCAACAAATATTGTGATGGAAGGCACCAAGATTACAGGTATTATTGACTGGGAATGTTCAGGCACCTAACCATTGAATTCTTCTGTGAGTATCCAGTATGGATTACAGGCAATCCATTTGCAAGTACTACAGAAGAAGAAATTAAGGAACATGAGGAACTTCAGAAGTTTTTCCGAGAACAAATGAAAAATTGTGATCCAGAATTTGTAGGCATAATGGATAACATGGATGAATTTAAAAGCAAAATATATAATTTGGTTTTATAAGGTATTGGGAGGCTGGCAGAATTTTAAAATTTCTTAAAAATCTTAATCTAATTCAGGATTATATGTAATATATAAAGTTTAGCGAATGTAACTTTTCAGGTAAATAGATAAAATGTTTAAAGATACGCCGCATATGCATGATTTTATGGGAGTTGCCTAAAATTTTTTATGCCATTATTAATTACTGACATCTGAAAGAATACCATTTAATGATTTTAAATTTCTTTATTTGAATTAAATGTGATATTATAATATAATTAATATAAAAATTAATATAATAAAATAAATACAAAATATATAAATATAACATATAAATACCATTAAGAAGTAAATACTTCCTTCTATCTACAAATTTTCCTTTTTCTCTCGCAACCTTGGCATTCCTCAGTTTTTAAATGGGTTATCTCATGCAGTATACAAAAAATTTGATGCTTTTTACAATATGGTGAACAAGAGGGAGTTTCTTTACATTTTGGACAATAGTGTTTTTTTTTTGTGGGGTCTTCATTTGCTTCTTTTATGTCATCAAATTCTTTTTTTTTCTTGCAATTCGGACATTCTAATTCAGTTAAATGGATTAACTCATGTGTTGGACACATAGTTTGATGTTTTTTACAATATGGTGTGCGAGGAGTCGCTTTACACATTGGACAATGATGCTTTGTCATTGTGGTGATTTATATTGGAAAAAATATCTTATGGTGTTAAAGTGAGGTCTGATTAGTTTTATGATAAAGGTGTATTTTTTTTTTTTTAGAAACAATAGCAAGGTTTTCACAGTTCTTTGAAAATGCAGGAATACAAATAAAAAACATTGATCACTTGATCAAAACCTAGACAGACCCCTGGTTAGGCAGAGTTTAAATTAATTGTTATTATTATGTAAGGGGGTACCATTATACGTAACTTTTAAAATTATATGAGAAAAAAAACTTTTTCATAGTTCAAAATATTTATTCAATTAAATTAAAAAAAAAAAACTTTAAAAAAGATAAATTAAATTTTTTAAAAATTTTCTTTTGATAATGAATTATATATTTTTTTTTTAATGAAAAAACGATCTTTTTCTTTTATTTCTTAAATAATTATAATTACAACAATAAAATATTAAAAAATATATTAATATGGCGCCTGTATTACTATTATCACCAAAACTTTATAAAATTTCTTCCTCTCGTGAAAATCCTTCTTCAGCTTCAATAGAACAAAAAAAGCCTTCTCAACAACAAAAACAACAATTACTGTTAATATCTACTATCACTACAACTACTAAACATCTTGGTAATAATAAACTTTTCGCCACAACCACAACCACCACCACTAACTATTCTTTACCTCCTTCCACTATAACTTCTCGCTCTTCTTCTCCTTTCGCACAATTTGCAATTCCTCCCACCTTTAATTCTACAATTAATAATCCCACTCCTACCATAATTAATAACAATAACGACAACGACAACAACAACGACAACAACGACAACAACGACGACGACAACAACAACGACAACAACAACAGCAGCAACAACAGCAATAATAGAATGTTTAAACGCTCAGCGGCAATAATTAAGTTAAATAATAATAATCATGAAGATATAAAACCAATCAACATTAATAGTAGTAAAACTAATAATAATGTTGCTAATAATACTAATAATAATGTTATTACGAACAATAATAATAATTCTACTACTATAGACAATAATTATAATTTCTTATTAGAACCAAAACCCATAGTAATGAAATCAAAGCAGCAATTAGAACAACAGCAGCAACAACGACAAGAACAATATTTACAATTATCATCACCATCTTTACGTACTTCTTTCGGTTGGCCAAAACATAATAGTATAGCACCAACAAAATATACATCCACAGCATCTATAAACTCAGCAATTACATCAAAATCAACAGCATCAAAATCATCATTAAAGTTAAAAGCATCATTATCATCATCATCATCAACAACAACATCATCAAATTCAACATCAAATTCAACATCATCATCACATGTATCTACATTCACATCAAAATCATCTGCATCATCTGCATCAAATAATGTTAAAAATAATAGAAACACCATTACTTTAAATCAAGGAAAAAAATCAATTCAAGATATTTTAAATAAATCACATAGAACAGAAAGAGAAGTTAAATTTACATTATCTAAGCTAAGACGTTTAATACTTGATGAAGGAATACCAGAAGAAAATTTGCCAAAATTGTCCCCGTCAATACAAAATCTAATTAGACCAGATTCGCTTAGATCAACAGTATGGAAACGTTTACTAGGTGTTTATCACGTATCAGCTAGTGATTATGTTCGTCTTATCAAGAAAGGAAAATCTTGTGTTTATGAGAAAATTAGAAGTGATACTTTTAGAACTATGGCAACTGATCAAAAGTTTTTGGAGAGGGTCAATGAAGAAATGCTGACACGTTTATTAAATGCCACAGCTTGGAAAATGAAAGGTAAATATATAAAAAATTATTTATTAATATAAAACCATTAATTAATTATATTGATTAAAGATTTTTTAGTGTCTGGTAATCAATCAATAAGTTATGTTCAAGGAATGAATGTGTTAGCAGCACCTTTCTTATATACGATGTCAGAGTTAGATGCATATTGTTCATTTGTAACATTTATTCAAACTTGTTGTCCATTATATGTAACACCTAATTTACAAGGAGTTCATTGCGGAATTAAAGTAAATATTTTATATTTTATAATATTATATGCACCTATATATTTATCTATTGTTTTAACTAAAATTTTTAATTTTAGTTGTTAGAAAAATGTTTAAAAATATTAGATGTAAAATTATTCAATTATTTAAAATCAAAGAATCTTACGGCGATAATTTATGCTTTGCCATGTTTGTATACAAATCATCATATCAATAATCATCATCATATCATCATAATTATAAACTATAATTAATGTTTAAAATTATTTATTTTATGCTTCTTATAGCTGTTCTTACATTTTGTGCTTGTACTCCGTCGCTTGATGAATTGTTAAAGCTTTGGGATTTTTTATTTGCTTATGGAGTTCATTTAAATATATTATGTATTATTGCACAACTTGTATTAATCAGAGATCAGTTATTAGAAGCGCCGAGGTAAATAATAATAAAAAAACCGAGAAAAATTGTTTTGTGTGATTATAATAAGTTTTTATTAACACTTTTTTTTTTTAGCCCAATGAAATTATTAAGAACAATGCCAAAACTGGATGCAAAATCAATAATAAATTTGACTGTCGAATTTGTACAGAAAATACCCAATGATTTATATGATTTACTGGTTAGGCATCCTTTTGACTCTACAGTTGAATCATTGGTTATCGATTAATGACCAAAATTGTCTCTTCAGTAAGAGTCATATAAAAAAATAATATAATTTTTTAAATTTACTTATTTATTATATAGAAATGAAATTGAATTTTCTAATATTTTATTTACAAAAGTTCTCTCAAGTTATAATACTTTTAATATATTACACGTATCAGAAAAAAAAAAAAACAAAATAATAATATAGAAAAATATTTGTTGTTTTTTAAATGTATTTTTATTTATTTATTTTTTATATTATTATTGTGTATTAAATTAAAAATTCAAACAAGAAAATAAAAAAAAAATCTTATTTATTAATGTTATGTAAATAAATTATTTTTTAAAAAGAATTCTTTGCAACGAATTAAATAAGCAGGATTTAAAAAAACAATCAGTGTCCGAAAAATATTATTATTATTATAAATTGAAATAATCGTCTTCTTTCCAAATATTTTTTTCTAAAGACTTTAATGAATTACTCAAATGTCTAGTACGATTTGTTCCAAGAGGATCAAATTCATCTGTTTCATCTGTTTCGTCATCATCATCATCTTCTACTTTGGCATGATTTATATTTATTGGTATGTTCTTACTAGCAGTATTTATATTAGAAATATGACTATTATTATTGCGACCATCACCATTACCATCATCATCATTGTTGTTGTTGTTATTGTTAATGTTACTATTATTATTACTATTATTATTATTACTACTACTACTACTACTATTATTGTTGTTATTATTATTATTATTATTATTATTATTATTATTATTATTATTATTATTATTATTATTATTATTATTATAATTATTTATCGATGTTGGTATCGACGTTAGTGACTTGGATGTATTAGTGTAATCATTAATTTTGTTAATATTGTAACCATTAATTTTATTAAATGATTTTGATGATGATGATGATTCGATTCTATCTATAAATCTTTCAAATCTTTTGCCATCACTATTAGGTATTTCTCTTACCAAATCAATGCATCCTATTCTATAAGGTGAAACATTCGGATCACTTAATTGTCGATTTTTGCTTGAAGACCCATTTCTAATACGATTATTTATAAGCTCATCATCTTCAAAGAAATCATATTCTTCATTATCATCATCGTTGTTATTGAAAATATCTTTTGCTCTTGCTTTACCTTTCTTATTCTTTTTAGATAATGTTGATTTTTTTTTTTTGATTTTAATTGGATCCTGACTTTCATATGAATTTTGAAATATAACTGGAAAATTGTAATCACCAAATCTACCCAACTTTCTACTATAATCATACATTGTTTCAACTTCATCGTCTGGCGTTGGATCTGGAAAATTTAAACTATTTTTATCATCGTCGTCCGCTCTTTCTGAAGATAATGATGAACGTGAGTTATTAGGTCCAGGCAACCAATATTTTCCTGACCCACCACCCGTAAATCTTAATCCGGCCATAATTCTTGCTGTCCGACTAGGGCCTATATATGCCATGCCTTCTGCTGGTTCAAATGTTCTATAATTGAATCTCGAGCCTCTGATTGTTTCTAATGTGTCTTCAAGAACATCTTTGAATCCCATACAATCTTTAAATGCATATCTGATTGGCATACGACCTGATCTATAGTTAGGATCAATATAATCTTTGAATGAAAATGCATACCAATGCGCTACTGATCCCATAACCATTTCAAACGTTATTAAAAAATCTTGAATTGATACAGAAATACTCTCGGCCGAGTCAGTTGTAGCTATATAAAAAAAAAGCAAATAATTAATAAAGAATAAAATGCTTAGGATAAAACAATAATAGTATTAATAAAATATATATATATATATATACTATCATGAATGACTCCGGCATATACAAGTATTGAAAGTATGAATCCTTGCCAAAATGAAAAGAAAATAACAGCCTTTACACAAAGGAATTTTGGTATTGGTCTAAAACCAATTATTATAATTATAATTATTAATATTAACAATAACATATATTATGCAAAAAAACAGTGTAAATATTTACCTGTAAGGTTTCAAATCATCCTTTGTACAAACATAGAAAATAATCAAACAATAAAAACATAATGAACAACTGACATTATATATCAAAGATATATAAATGTATCCATTCGTTATATCTATATGACCCTCTTGATAAGTATTTGCCCATTTTAGAAGCATTGTAAGTAATGACAAAATTGGTTTCACATAAACATATTGGAGTATTCCTCTTTTAATAAATAAAAATGCGTATGGATCACCAATATCTATGTCTCTTAGGAAAAAATTAACTGGAAATAGATGTGGAGTTGGTGGTCGACCATGTAGTAATATTAATAATGATCTTTCACCTCCCAGACAATTAACAAGAAGATTAAAAAAACAATATATTACAAATGCCTATTAATTATTAATATGTATTAATTATTAATATGTATTATTTAAAAAAATAATATATCATGTGTAAGCATTAATTTAATAAAATCCTTTGAATTGAATTTAGATTATTTACCTCGTAAATATCTCTTATAGCATCAACGTAGAATGCCGCATTCGTTGATGTTAAACTAATCCATGATGATATAGCATAAATAGGTACCCTAAAAGAAACAAAAAGAACAATTTATATTTTATAAATAAATAATATTTATATAATTTTTAAAAAACTTTATCATTAAATTCAATTGATCAGAAAATTTATTTAATTATTACATTATTATAATTCGCACCACATATCGTTGTAATGCCTAAAATTTATTATAAATGAAAAATTAAACATTGCAAAGAAACATATCACAATAATCATTGGTTTATTTTAATTTTATATATAAATATTAAACTTACTGGTTTTCTATAGTTTTTTAAATGCGACCAAATAGACATCGTTGACAACAAAGTTGCAGTAACAGCAAAAAGTCCTGCGACTATACGAATTATTTCACCATGTGCAAAGTTGTCGGAAGAGCCTCCACCATTGTCTTTATCAGCATTTGTTTGTGTTGTATTTGAAAGAAAATCTGAAACCATTTATATTTTACTCTATTTTTTTTTCTAAATAAAATAATAGTTCACAAGTAGAGTTTCTTTTTTGATTCACACACAGTCTATTAAATCATATAAATATATATAAATTATTTTTTTTTGAACAATTTACAATTTAATATTAAGGAATTTAAGGGGTAACTTATCAATATTAAATATTTTTAGGATGTAAGGACGATGATCTTTGGTGAAATATCCTATTGTATCATTTATTACAAATTTGATCGCAAATGAAGTTATAAAGTTAAATCTGCACAGCCGGATGATTTGGAAGTAACCTATCTTAGAGATTCTCAAAAAACTCATTAATATTAAATATAAAACCTATTACTATTACTATTACTATTATAACGAAAATTTTTACAAATTTTGTAGAGACCAGTAAATTTTGTGTAATTTTACAATAAATATAATATAATAGTAATTACTATATACATTACAACCAAATTTGGACATGTATATAGTTCAAAATATTGTAACACAAATATTATTGCATAAATTTAATAAATAAATATATGGATTTTGATTGAATGTTCAATTTGTCTATTGGTCTATTTAAATTTCACCTGCCCAGGACGTGATGATGGACTTCTTGATCCATTGATGGTCTATTGAAAATTTATATGGGGCATGCTGTAACAAAACCAGACAAAGTGAACATTGATGTTACCAAAGATTTAAGGGATCAAGATTTAGTAATGTGATTATTAAAATCTTCCTCTTAATATTAAGTGATATATAGAATTACCTCGATATAAACATAGTTAATATGAAGTTAATTTACATTAGGTCCACCATGGAACCCAAGAATTATAGTACTATTAGAAGTATTTTAAAAAAGGAACAAGGTGAAAAAATTGTTCCTTATATTTTCAAAATAAATGATACTCAGACACTGGAAGCTTATTTAAGAAAAGAAAGGATTACCTATGAAATCTACCAAGAAGAAAGAAAGCATCATGATTACCTAATAAAAAGAAAAAATCCTTAAAAGGAAAATAAATACCATTTTCTTTGAACTTCAATTTATACAGAGGGAAATTTCCTCAGTTACTTTTTTATTTTCAATCAAGATCATCTTTTAGTCTCTTTGACTTCAATTTGAGCAGTTAATTGACCATTCTGTTGATCTTTTAATTACCTGTTTTCCTCTTCTATATAGGTGTTTAATTTTCTCTTCTAAACTTTTTCTTTTATCCAATAACTCCTGTTTTTGCTTTTTACTTCACTCTTCTGATTGTTCTTGAAATTTGGCTATATACCTTTTCCCTTTCTATTTATTTTCAACTCCTTTTTGGTAGCTTTTAATTCTTTTTCTAATTCTTTAGTTTTACTTTCTAGGCAAGAACTGAAAGATTGGGCAACTAATTCTCTGTTAGTAAGAGGTTGGATTTGCTTCTTCTTTACCTTATGACAATAACACCTACTTTTGTTCTCTTTAACTTATCACATTCCTCACATTGAGGAAGAATGTTATTGTCATATTCCACCTTACAGTCTTTACAAATAAAGATATATCAAAATATTGCTCTGTTTCAGTATGTGCTATCATCTGATGAGTAGCAGGAGCAGTATCAAAATTTAAATTAGTTGGATCATCATAATCTACAAAGCAATAATGACATTCTTGCTCATCTCCTTTTGCTAATTCTGGTTGTAAGATATGAGCTTCAAACTTTTCCAAAACATAGGTTTCAAACTTCTCTTTGCTCTTTTCTTTCACTTTGCTTACTAACTTTTTGAGTTTTGATAATCTGCTTTGCTTTTGCTTTTTAGGTAAGGCTGGTAGTTCTTTATTCTCATATTCTTTAATAATTTGTTCTTTGTTCTCTAACTAGTTAATGTTGTTTTCTAGGACTTCTATTTCATTAAGATCAATAATTGAGAAGATTGTTATTTTAACTTGGTCTAAAATCAAGCATATTTATACTGCTTGGGGTATTACAAGTGATGTAATTTGTATAACTACTCTTATACATTGTAACATTTCATTATATATATATATATATCTCTTTATGTATATGACAAATAACATCTTGTAAATTCATTTGTAACATATATGAGTTGATCTGAGGATCAACATACCAATAGGGTAAAAACCCAGACTGTAATTGTATAATAGTAGTTTCTCAATGGTTCAAAAGTTAACATTAACTTATTTTGGGTAGTCAGTTTATTATTTTTCCACAAAAATCAATAAAATTTTAAAATATGCTGTGGTCATGAATATTTCATTCATAACCAAAGGGACTCCAGCTTTTTTTATAAGAAATATTCAATTTACTAACCATCAAGACAGTAATTTACATTTTACAGTGACCACTAATCATATTTATCATCAAATTAATGTTAACTATACATGCAGCCCAAAGTATTTGACACTGACATAAAGGGGGTTACACATGTAGTAAAGGGGTATTACAGTCAGGATTATTACCAAATTTGGAAATCAAATCTAGAAAATTGGAACTCCTTTGTTGATCAATTCATATGTGTGGCAAACAAGTTAATGTGATACTTTGCTGCCTTTTGAAAATCTTTTATTTTAAATTATAATAATAATAATTGAAATAAACAGTATTGAACTTGCTTTTTCATAATCTATTAAAAATTTACAAAAACCTATCAATTTGTTCAAAGTAAGCCTTTACATAAATTTAAAGAAATTTAAGTGCCAGGAGTTTAAATTTTCAGTTTTTTTTTTCTCTTTGAACTTTAGTGGTAAAACATCAAGATCAATTGCACTTGCTGCACTGAGAAAAATTCAGAGAATAAATATGTTAAATGCAATAGGGAATAAAGTAAAGATCGTTTAAAACTATTTGTTAAATATTTGTTCAAAATGCTTTTACAAAATTAAATGATGTAACAGATTCTCTCTCCATACCACTGTTCTACAAATGTATCCTGATTAAAAACCTCTAATAATTTTATAAATGTAATGATTTCTCAAAAGCCTTAGTGATTGAAAGTTTGTAATACTAATATTGCAGTCAGGGATATTTACATATTGGGATTTGATTCCAGAATAGTCTGCAGATCAATTCATTATATGTTACAAATGAATTCACAAGATACTTTTTGTTATATCTATGTTACATTTTCTAAAAATAAATCGGTTTGTAATAACTGAAAAAAATACTATTAAACTTGCTCTT